AAATACAGCCGCTGTTGGGCCTTCTTGACCAGCTGTGTGGTGTTATGTGTCCAAGTGAGGTCCTCACTGATGTGGACGCCCAGGTATTTGAAGCTGCTCGCCCTCTCCAGTTCGAGCCCCTGGATGAACAGTGGCTGATGAGATCTCCTCTCCTTCCTCATGTCCACTATCATCTCCTTCGTCTTGTCCGTGTTGAGGCCGAGATTATTTTCCTTGTACCATGACACCAGACCGGCCACCTCCCCCCCAGTGATGCGACCTATCACTGCGGTGTCATCTGCAAACTTCAGGATGATATTGTCTTTGTGGGAGGTCATACAGTCGTGGGTGAACAGGGTGTAGAGGATGGGACTGAGGACATCCCTGTGGGGTGCCGATGTTTGTGATAATGCTGGCTTATTGTCAATCCTCACAGTCTGGGGCCTGCCAGTCAGAAAGTCCAGTAGCCAGTCACAGAGGGTGGGGTGCAGACCCAGTGTGGACAGTTTGTGGGTGAGTTTGTTGGGGACAACTGTGTTGAAGGTGGAGCTGTAGTCAATGAAGAGTATCCTGATGTAGGAGTTTCCATTTTCCAGGTGAGAAAGGGAATAGTGGAGTGCAGCGGCGATGGCGTCTGAGGTGGCCCCGTTGGGCCGGTAGGCATACTGCAGGGGGTCCAGGGTGTCCGGTATACTGCTCTGAATGCGGGCCAGCACCCAGCACATACATTCAAGAAATTAAATTGAAAGGAATGCATCAGGCCCTAATGTGTATTAAAAGTCAAGCCAAATAAATATGTTTTAAGCAAGGATTTAAAAGTAGTCAGGTCAGTAGCTGATCTAACATTTAAAGGTAAACTATTCCACAATTTAGGGGCTATAACAGTAAAAGCACCATCACCCCAGCGTTTATATCTGACCCTGGGAACCTCTAAAAGAAACTGGCTTACAGATCTGAGGGACCTTGTAGGTTTGTGCCAATGCATTAATTCAGTGAGGTAAGATGGAGCTAAACTATTAAGAGCCTTAAAAACAGAAATCAACAGCTTAAAATCAATTCTAAAACAGACTGGAAGCCGGTGGAGAGAAGCCAGTACCGGGGTTATATGCTCAAATTTTCTAGTACTTGTCAAAAGATGAGCAGCAGTGTTTTGAACCATGTGAAGACGAGAGAGAGAGGACTATTTAACACAATAGTATAGAGCATTGCAGTAATCAAGTCTAGAAATGATAAACGCATGGATTACAATCTCAAAATCATTAAAAGAAAGGAATGACTTGACTTTACTTGACAGCCTCAGGTGGAAGAAGCTCGATTTCACAACTCAGTTGATTTGCTTGTCAAACCTTAACTCGCCATCAAACATCACCCCTAGGTTTTTTACAGTTGACTTCAGATGACAAGCCAGGAGGCCCAGACCCTGATCAAAAGAAGTTAAGTTCACCAAGTCTCCAAAAAGCTCACACTCAGTTTTATTTTCATTAATATTTAAAAAGTTAAGTGCCAGCCATGATTTCAAGTCTGTCAGACAGTCAAACAATAGCTGTAATGACATCCCTCTCATTGCCTTCAATGGTCAGTATTTCTGAATGTCGTCTGCATAACAATGAAAAGAAAGGCCATATTTCCTTAAGACAGATCCCAATGGAAGCATGTACAATGACAACAAAATGGGACCAAGCACAGATCCTTGGGGTACACCACAGGAAATTATAGGAGCATGAAGGAAAGTAACATGAAGTAGAATTAAAGATGTTTGAAGTGGAAGTAAAGTTATTTATGACTACAGTACAGCTGTAATACATCACCATCCAGATATGTCACAGCTGTCCGCAAAACAATCCAGTCGTAAAAAAAAATTAAGAAACAAGTCAAACTGAGTTTTACTTTGACACCTGGAAATAGGATTTCCAGCATTCAACGAACATCTCCAATTAAACACAGTTATAGAAGGTCTAAAATTTGAGAACACTAAAGGGTCAAATCTTGACCTTTTTGAGAAGAGGCTGGACAGTCATCTTTTTGAAAGCCTCTGGCACTGAACCTGTACTTAGACATAAATTAATTAAAGCCAGAAAGCTAGGCCCAACACAATAAAAAACATCCTTAAACAGTCTAGTTGGCAAGCAATCCAAAGAACAATGAGATGGTTTCATGTGGTGAACCAGTTCAGATAGCATAGACAAAAATATAGACTGAAACTGATCAAAGACAGCAGAATGCAAAGGAATATCAGCTGAGACAGAATTAATAGAACTGGAACACTGCCTAATGCTAGTAATTTTATCAGTAAAATACTGAAGAAAACCCTCACATATTGCTACAGAAGCCTCAGGATGATTAGCAAGGTTACATGGGTTGATAACAGAATTAATTGTATTGAACAAGACCTGAGGTTTATGATGATTACTGACCACAATGTTGGAAAGATAGTTTGATTTGGCAGAGTTTACAGCCTTCTGATTGTCAGAAACAATCTCAGAAAGAAATGTGAAGTTTATCTTTCTTCCATTTATGTTCAGCTTGCCAGCAGCTTTGTCTAAGTGCCCTATCACAGGGCTGACACCTAGAGACAGGCAACCACACACACCCACATTCTCACCGCTATGGTCAATTTAGAGTCACCATTCAACTCAACCTGCATAGAACCCCATTAAAATGAGATGGTACATCTCAAGGGGTTTATCCCAGTATACTAATAAACTGCTTCAACCTAACCTGAATGTCTGTGGAAAGAAGCCAGAGTACCTGAAATAAACCCATGTAGGCACAGGGAGAATATGCAAACTCCACACAGAAAGGCCCTGCTTGGGATTTAAACCCAGAGTATTTTTTCTACAAGGCGACAGTGCTAACCACAGTGCCAATGTGCCACCTAGGCAAAGTGATAGGAAAATTAACAAAGGATGGGTAATTGAATTGCAGAAATGCAAATAAAGATGAAGGAACAAATGAATAAACAATGAAGAAACGAAATTGTGAAGGAAGGAATACACGGGTATAGAAGCATAGACTCAAGGGACTGTGGGGGTGGATAAAAGGAGGGAAGACATGAAAGAACATGCAAACAAAAGAGCAAAGAAAATGAAGTGGGAGAAAAATATCAAGAAAGAAATTAGAAGGAAACAGGATCTGTGTACTTTAGAAGGTAGACGAGAGGGCAAGGAATAGAGGAATAAGTGGAGTGAAAACAGATAATTAGATGAAAGCAATATTAAATGAGAAAATGGCCAGCCATATTGATCGGGCACTAGGAAAAGATAAAAGTGCATTTTCACACTGATAGCTACATAAAATTATCCATTCAAATACTTAAGTTTAATGATGTCAACATGAAGTAGAATTAAAGATGTTTGAAGTGGAAGTAAAGTTATTTATGACTACAGCACACCTGCAATACATCACCATCCAGATATATCACAGCTGTCCACAAAACAATCCAGTTGTACCAAACATTAAGAAAAGAGTCAAACTGAGTTTTACTTTGACACCTGCAAATAGGATTTCCAGCATTCAATGAACATCTCCAATTAAACACAGTTATAGGAGTCAAGTGGTTTCAAAACAAATTTATACTTAGTACTCTGCAGATGCAATTTTCTTTATAAGAATTCATAAGAATATTTTAGGCACCATAGCTGTTGCGTACAAAGGGAGATTTCAGGTTTTAGTGGACAGACAGTCTGGCAGTTAATGAGTAGTGTGTCTGTGGAGACATGCAGTTTCGTACATGTTTTATGAAACCTTGGTTCTAATCATCATGGAAACTGATAAATGTTGTACGTTTTTAATCAGCTAAAAGACATGTTCATATAAAACTATGTAGTATATATGGTATAGTAGTGTCTCAAAATAGAGTTCACAGTTTCTGGCATTGTGGAGATTATTTATCTGATTGTATCTTCATTGACTAGATTTGGTTTTGATACATACCCATACATAAACATGGTGTATAGATTCATCACTGTTCCCTACAGAGAGGTTAAAAGGCATCAGACAGTGACCTCACCAATGCAGTCACAAAACATCTGGAATGGACAGGTGGTAGGCTCAAACACACACACACGCACACACATGTTTGTTCTAATTGACTCTACACTGACTTGCATTAATTTCTTGGAGACTTACCCTGACCTTGACCATAATCATTACTTTCCTAATCCTAACCTCACCCTAACCTTAAGATATCATCACCCTAAAATTAATTGATTTACTTTGTGGGGACCAGATGATGGAAGACAAGTTCCCATAATGTGAGGGGACTCCTGGTTTTGGGTCTCCACAAGTATGGAAAAATAAGGCCACAGCAACACACACATAGTATTTCAAAAATATTAATGAACATTTTGCCTGGAATGGTTATAAAGGTATAACAGTGCCCTCTGTTGATCTGTTGAAATATTAGGCTACTGAACTATAGGCAATAAAATTTATCATATTTTATCAAAACACCACCTAAATACACACCCACATGCCCCCCACACATACACACAGACACATACATGTTCACTCATTTTAAGATAATGAAACTTCACCATGCAGAAAGACAGCATCTTGTACTCTTCATTTTTCTGTCTGTCATTCTTTCTTTTACACATTTTAATCATCCCATGTCTGGTTCCTCTCTTCTGCTCTGACTTCCCTCTCTCCAACAAAACTACAGGAAACTAAAGAAACCTCTTAAAGTTTAACAAACATCCAAAAAAAAAACAAAAAAACATGGAAACTTTATGTTATGCAAAGCCACCAGTTCTTGGCATGTATCGACTGCTTCTTAGATTAGTCCTGTCCAAACCTGTGAGCAGTCGTGTATTGCAAAGCTGAAATCCATACAAACTAAATGAATGGCCTTGAAACAGACAAGCCATGAGATTAGAAATTGAGCGCATGTTTACCTGTGAGTTGCACTGACAACACAGGGTATTACAGGTTAAAGAAAGTTGTGATGTTTGATTCATGTAGTATAAAAATGTCTATAATTAATATTTCCTAAAAAAAATTCTCATACACTCTTGCTGCAGCTCCCCAGGTGGTGTCCTTCTCCTTCGATGTTGGAAATGGACCTGTGGAGTTAACAGTGCATTCAGCAACACCCCTCAATGACGACCAGTGGCATCGTGTGATGGCTGAGCGTAACGTGAAAGAGGCGGTCCTTCAGTTGGATCAGACTTACCGGTCATCTCAGCTTGCTCCTGCACAGGGGCACACACGGCTAGAGCTGTTCAGCCAGCTCTACGTGGGTGAGATACACGCACAGACTCCCACATAATCCAAACAATTAACAAATATCATGTGTTAGAATGGCTCTTATATAAATAATTGATTTATTATTTTTTTATATGCATTGCACAGAGAAAAATGCCATAATTGTGAATTATATGTAGAAAGCAAACACCTAAATTCACATCATTCATGTACTCATAATAGTTGAGCTGTTATTTAAAAAATTAACTTTCTTTAGAGTGTGCTTTTTTTAGTAATGGTGCCCTCAGATGTCAAAATACACTGATTGTTTCATATGTTAAAGATGTAGCAGCCTTAACTAGAAATCACTGTGTTCTCACTTAAGAAGTTTCACATCATTTTAGCCACAGTCATTACTAAATGAATTAATCCAGCACACACACACAATCCTTTCACACTTTACTTTCACCTTTTACTTTAATGTACACACTTCTTGAAATGACAAACTTATCCAAGTGAGTGATCAGAGTTTTGATAAAGTTAAAACTGAGCCTCTGTGCTGGCTGTGAGGCCACATGACTAAAACTAACTTAATTCACTTGTCACGTATTGCTTCAGATTAAACTATTATAGCACAAAGAGGATATCAACCCCCTGACTTTGTCACTCTCTCACACACTCTCTCTCTTAGTTATTATACAAGAGCAAGCCTTCATCCTCACACTAACTACAACTATATTTTGTTAAAGAGATCTGGTTTGTTCCTGATGGTTATGTGCCTCTTCCTCTCCACACTATACATCTCAGCATCTCAAGCTCATCAGAAGATGTGGCCATGTTTTTTCCCCCAATGCTTTCACTTCTAGGTTTCAATCTACCTTTTCTGCTGAGCTGGCAATGCTCTATAAGCTAGACTCTTGGGCTAAAATAGTTTTAGGGATTTGTGGATAGAAGGAAAAGTGCTGAGGCAGATCGCAGAGTTCCTGGTATCTCATGTAAAAAGTTCTGCCCAAGGGAGATTGTTCCCAATTCCATAGCTTTAACCCCCAATGCTCATTTATAATATAGTTTCATTGTCTCATTACTGATTCGACCGCTGCTGAAACATCCTCACCTTATCATGTCTCATTTTCCCTTTAGTGTATTTGTATTTTCATTTTGTGCAATGAAAAGGGGCAAGAAAGGTTTAAGCCACTGCACGACTGGCGGCTATGACACAGAGAACATAATGGCTTCCAGATAGCACCTCAGCTGTCATTTCATTTGCAAGTGTGGATTCTGGCATTTCTACCGAAGGAAGGCAGGAGACAGCTTAGGCTTGTGTGTGGTACAATTCTAAAAACACAAGAAAGAAGTGGAGGATATAGAGATAGAGCAGGGGAACAGTTGTGTGTAACAGCAGCCACAGAGATGACAGCACCCTCTCATATCTCTAATCCCTGGTTAATCCTCATTGGAGGATTGCTTTGGAAAGATACAGTATGACTCATACAGCAAGTCCTCCAACCTGTATGACCCATATGATCGGTTGTCCCTTCCTTCTCATGCAACCCATAGAGTGTCTCATTAAATAGCACTCCTACAGGTAGTGGGAAGAATTGCAACAATTCCACCAACATTAACAACAACGTATGTCACCCTACCAAACATTATGGACCATTGTCATCATGGAAACAGCCATGAATATGAAAGCTAGCTGGCAGGAAACTACTGGAAGCTCAGTTGTCTTGGGAACTGTCATAAATATGACATGATTATGAAGCTGTCATGGTTTCATTACATTTTGCCACAATCTACTTGATTAGTTTTAGTCACAAAAACTACTTAGTAAAAATTGGGGGAAAAAACTAATTGATCATGTTTAGGAACAAAACCACGTTGTTACAAACACAAGCTATACAATGGAAATAAACTCAGCTCTCCTGAGGGAAAGTCCTGTGTTTACTGTACCTAGCCATCCATGCCAACTTCCTCCTAATGCAGACTCTATAATGCCTCTATATCAGGGGTGGGCAAACTTTTTGGCTCAGGGGCCACATTGACTTTTAAAATTTGACAGACGGGCCGGGCCAGCACCAGATGCATACATATCAAACATAAACATATAAAAGGCATTACAGTGTTAATACTTACATTCGCTTTTAGTGGGAACAGTGTTGTTGATCACCCTTTTTTCCCAGTGCATCGAAGTCTGGTGTTAGTTTTGTTGTGGCAATTCTCAGAACAGATCTGAGGTGTTCATCACTCAACTGGAATCTGTGGGGTGCTTTGTTGGTGTTCATCACACTAAAAGTCTGTTCACACACATAGGTAGAGCCAAACAACACCAGCATCCTCTGTGCCATCTTCTGGATGTTTGGA